CCCTACAGTTTTCTTGAACTATCACATGGCAATTAGGAGATGGTCAGGTATTATAGCAACAGTGGCAATAAATTTAAGAAATCTCAGAACAGTTTTAGGATACTTAAGCATTTATTGCTTTCTAACTGGAAGCCTCTGTTGAGTTGCTAAGGTCTGAATATGCAAAAAAAAGAAATAAGCACAGGGAAAATGTCTTATAATTTTTGTTGACATGAACAGGGTTTTTTTCTTTTCTTTTCTTTTTTTTTTTTTTTTTTAAACACATACATGAAATTTATTCTCAACAGAATCTCACATGTAGATTTTATCTTATATATACACTTCAGCATATACTTTTATTTTTTTTTCAAATCCTACTGTAAATTAGTAAGAAGATGCCAAATTAAAAAAATTAAAACAGAAGGACAATTAAAAAATCCATAAGTTGAAAGCAAACTTGCATTAAATAAAATGAAAAAGTCAAAAGACAAATCCTCTAGCTTCTGGTACTAACTGAGCAACTTAACTCCCTAAAATTAGGGAAGAAAATTCCCTAATGGCCAGGTTATTCTATAGTAGGGATTCTGACACCTCTCTGCAGAAGCAATTAATATTAGCCATCTTTGGGCAGGATACTACACAGAATGGCCCACTAATCTGTGTTGGTATCCCGATTCTCTTATTCTTATAACATTCTGAATTGTTGGTTCTGACGGAATTCTTAGCATAACCCTAGATAAAAAAAATGACTGGAAATGAGTTAATAATTGGGGAAAATAAGGGGAAAATGCTGGGTTTACAGAGAGGATAGAACCTTCCATCTGGGCCAGGTCTATGCTCAAAAAAAAAAATATACAGTAGCATAGCAAACCTTCCTAGCACAGGTTATGCCAGCAAAAGGGCCCTATACTAAGCAAAAAACCCCTAATACTCTGTAAAAGTGAAAATACTTGTCTATCAGCATAACATTTTCTATACTAGGGAATTTTACCCACAGAAACTTAAGAGAAACAGGAGGGAAGAGTAGGAATAGCTCTCATAATCAACACTGCTCTACACCAAAGAGTTTACAGTATGCATCTGATTAGCTGTATTCTTTGTTCTGGAGAAAACAAGGACTTGAATTTTCTACATTCCTTTCTACCTTGCCTGAAAGTTTCTTTCTTCTAGGAGGAAAGTCTACAGATTCATTACAACAGGCTGTATATTCCTGCTTTACAACTCTTAAAGCTGGCTGCAACTCAACATAGAAACCACTCCTCTGCCAATCAAAACATGCTCTCACACCCTGAGAACCCAAAGCAGTCAGTTCAAGATGCTTTCAAAACTGCCTCACTGTGTTTACAATAGTCCAGCTTTACCACCAAATGCAGAACAGTGCCATTACACCAGCAAAACCACTTTGTACTGGGACAGTGAAAATACAGCCCTCTATCCTGCTCCTTTGTAACAATGCAAAACATACTAGTAAAAACCACAGCTTTGCTGAATCTCTGTACTTTTGTTAGCACAGCTATAATGGTTGTATTCGGTCATATCCTTGACTAAAAATTATGCTGGCTGAAACCTGGGTCTCTACTTGAAGTCAAGTCCTTCAAAGTTCATTCAGAGGTTACTAGATAGACAAAGACATTCATATAAATATATCCTAATGCAGAACAGCTTTTAGTTTCATCACAAAAACCTTATAGTGTACACAAAGAAAACTGAGTTATGGCCTTTTCTGCTGACCCCAACACCTGGACACATCACTTTGCTTTTGCCAAAGTCACCTCTGTACTGCAAGCAGTTGTGCTGGCTGAGTGCGATGCAGGCCCTTGGAGAGCATCTCCAAAGGTGCAGCATCTACCAGGCAAAACAACAATGCAACACCATGCAGCACTGTAAATGGGACTCTTAGGCGAGGGGTTCTCAACCTTTTTAAGCTGAAGACAGGCAGTGACCAGCACACTGTGGGCAGGTAGCCAACCCTTTTTTATACCGAGTATAAAAAAGGGTTGGCTGCCGGTCCACAGTATGCTGGTAACTTCCAGTTCACAGTTTGCCAGTCCACGGTCACTTCCGGTCTGGCAGCCAGCCCTCCTGCGGACCAGCAGCCAACCCTTCGTGGCAGGTTGGGAACCCCTGCCTTAGGCTGATTCTGGTGCCTCCCATTCACCATACCACAAAGTACCTCAACAAGTAATGGTATGTCAGGGAATACAGGTACAAACATATCACAGAAGCCACTTAAATAACATTAATGTTGCTGACTAAAGAGCTGTTGATGTTCACATATTGAAGCAAGTGAGCCTCTTCAACAAGGCTGTGGATATTCTCTCAGGCAAACTATTCACTAGGGCATACAGCCATGTCTGGAGTCATAGACTATACAGTGATCCAACCTACCCTTTCATACCATGAGTAACGTATTACTGGCTATCTTGACAGCACCAGGCAGAGCAGGTGCAAGGCACCCCCAAAAAAAATGGAGTTCTCTCCTGGGCCACCTGGACATGACCAAAGAAACTGTGTCTGGGGTTGTTACAGCCCTCCACCTCCTATAACAGTGGTTCTCAACCTTTTATGTACGAGGACCCATTTGTAAACATTGATGATCAGTCTCGACCCAGGGCTCCAGTTACTACAAGGGAACTCTGCCAGCCCGCAAGCGAAAATCCAGTTTCCCACATTTTTCTCCTTTAAAGGAGAATCCATTTTTAAAGTTTGTTGATCCATTTTTAAAGTTTGTTCACAACCCTTTCATATATTCTTGCAACCCATTTTAGGGTTGCGAACCATGGGTTGAGAAACGCTGTCCTAAAGAACTTGCACGCACCCAAAGGGAAGCAGAAAAACTAACTGCCAATTTGGAAAAGCCAGACACAAGGGCCCTAAGCATTGCACACACTAGTGTTGTGAGGTCCTAAGACAGCATTTCAATGTATCCCCTTAAATAAAGGGGATGGTAATTGGTGACCTCAGGGCACACCCACACTTCAGCAGGTGGCCTGGAAGCAAGGGGAGGGATTAGCTTTTTTGAGAAGAGGGAGTTTGGGTTTTTGTTGAAGGAAAAATGACAGCATATGAACACCAGAATCAAAAAATAGTTTTACTGATGGTAAAAGACAAATTGTGTTAAGTTCCTAGTGCAAAAGATTAAAGGCAGTAAAAGAGCCAAACCACCAAGGACCCAGATCTGAGTACACAAATACTCAGCACAAAGAACCACTGTCAGCATGGTGATGAAAAGGCCCAGAGTTGAACCTCTTACAGGCTGGTATACCACAGCTTGAAATTGTTCTTTTTATCAATTGATATCAAGAGGGAACTCAAAATGGTGAGGGATGGTACACATTTATACACACCAAAACATGCTCACTGCCTTCTTGCTCCTCCTGGTACTTATAAAGAACACTCTTCTTCCACCTATCTCTCACTAAGTTTTCACACCCCACAAACTCCCAAACCTACATTCTGTTTTTGCAGGACAATATCTATAGGAACTATTCTTACTTTAAGTTAATCCTCATTTGTTGCTGAAACAACACTAGAAAATTAAATCCTTCATATCAGCAAAAATTTCCATTTAAAACTTTCCATTGTATACTTTTAATCAAACACGGGACAGACCACATACTTAACAGATGAAGAGAACTGCTAGTTTCTCCTGCCCCGACTAAATGCTGATTTGCTAAGAATACTAATATTATTAACTTACATTCTCCAGAATATTATTAACTTACACAAACCCCAGTGCATTACCTTATCTAAAGCTGTGATACCTTAAAGCTTTTTATCTACCTTGCATCATCTTGTTTTTGCCTAGCTGAGGGCAAGATTTGATTTAAACCATTACACAGTTATTACCAAAATATTCGATCATTTCCGTAAGTAAAAATAGGTCAAATGAAAACATAAAGATAATGGTTGTGCACAGATTTACTTGGGTGCTACCTACTTAGATCACTCAACGAATCCTGAAATTGCATCTGCTTTTCTTTAAGGACTGGTTTTCCATAAGCAATTTAAATGACCTGCAAATGCAACTGGTTCTTCTACTCATGGAAGGCCTTAGAACAAAAAGGAGGCAAATAAACTAGTACAAGTGAAAGAATTTTGAGGAACAGAATACTGTCATAAAAAACTGAAGGCCAGCTCATCTTTGATAGACTCACATGCTCAGAAGTACCATTAAAGTCCCCAAATTAACTAAGTTTCCTGACCAACATAACTGTTAACATTAAAAAAATAATACTTGGACAAGAAAGAAAAAAATTACACTCAAAAAGAATGTTCCAGGTTTTGCAGAATTATCAATTTCTGGTAATCTCACAGCATCTGCACAGAGGAACTGCAATGGACTAGACCTGCAAGAAAACAGCTAGAAGATGCAAGGAATGCACTGTGCTGCAACGCCCCTGACTCCTAACACAGGCAGTTTACTGCTAGACTGGAGCATACATCCACTGCTCCAAACTATGGCTTATGGG